CTTCTAGAAATCACTATTCAAGACAAAATAATTACCATCAAACAGGGGCTCTATTTATTCCTATGGGACATAATTTAACGTTTGTTTTGACTTCTGCGTTTGGATGCATAGAAAATTTTTGTACCCATGTTGTTTATATTAATTAATTATTTAATTATTTGTTAAAATTCATATGATTCTTTTTCTTACCATATCCGTTTAGTTCTTCACAAACCTGACAATAATTATGAAAAATGCGAACCTAAATTAATCCTATTGTGAATTGATCCATGCAAAGGCAATCACATGTTTCATTCTCTGAACTTAATTTCGAACCCTTTTTTTTTTTTTTTTTTTTTTTTTTTTGAGAATTACTCGAACTGAAACATTCAGTTTCAATCAAAATTTTAACTAGCTTTGGCTTTAGAATTAAGAATAAGGCATTTTTAGGATATTTTTTGGAAGCAATGTATTTTTGTTTCATGTGCAATACTGAGTCTTTTGGTCTAGGTTTTTTGAGATTGTAATTTTGTCAAACTTCATTTTTAAATATAAAGGTCTATAATCTACAGTTCCATATTTTAACTACACATTTTACAAATCTACAACTTACAATTTTTAAAAAAGTTGGACCAAACTGTGAGTAAATTTATTTTATTAGCTTCATTTCTTGGTTCGAATAAATAATTAAATATAATGAAGCAAAACTTGAACCGTCGATCGTATTCGGTCCTACTCCCTCGTGGAACATTCACACGTTTTCATGCAAAATATTTAAGCATTATCTTCCCTGGCTATTATTTCTGTGGTTGCAGGTTCATATGAAATGGTTCGAGTGGTCTATTTCAGGTGGGGTGCGAGGCAAATAGGAGGAGAATAATGATGTTTAGGGCAAGAAAAATGTGTGTATTCACGTGTAGGGTTTAGGAAATTCCAAATAAGAAATAAAAGATATATGGACCCACTTTCAGTGTGTCATCTTCACAATTCTCTTCCGTCGCTTGCATGCCAGGTTTGATATCCCTCTCTCTCTCTCTAGTGGATAGAAAAAAGAGCTTTTTGTCATTCCCTAACCTAAAGACTAGTTGCCTTTCAGGGCAATATCGAAATTGCTCCGCTTATAGCATCGTGCGGCCATTGGGAGGATCGCTCGCCAGCTAGGTCAGATTGGAGAAGCCGCTATCACTTTGAGCCAATCGAATCTCTGAATGAAGAAATAGTACTGTATAAGATATTTAATGCATTTGCATGTTTGTTTTATTATTATTATTATTTTTTTTTTTTTTGGTGTACAAGATTAACGAGACATACTATAAATACTCACATACGATTGAAAAAAGATTTAAAAGAGCACATAAAGTTCATCTATAATGTAGTATACTATTGTAATGTAATCCGAATTCTAGTAAGTATTAGAGTTCTAGTTGAAGTGGTTATGGAGAGATCAAAATTATAGATCGAGATGAAAAATCGTTGGATTTTCGCTAGCTTATCTCTAGTTGGCCGCTCGAACAATATGGAAATTTTTTGGAGCAGGAAGTTGTCAACGCCACCGTCGAGCTCTTGCTTGAGCAGCAGTTCTATCACTCGCCTGCTACTAGACGACGCTCGAACGACAGCGCCATCCTAATTTTTCGCTTTATGTCAATTTCATGCGTTTTTTTACCTAATTTTCATTTTTTAAGTCACTTTTATGGTTTTGACCCTTTATAAATAGTAGACTCTTCATTCAGTGTAGGTATTGCTGAGATTGCATTTTGTCTTTCCATTGGTTGTAAAATTACCCGATTCTTCTGCCAATCTTCTTATTGCTTTAATCTTATTCTTGCTTACCTGAGATTGCATTTTGTCTTTCCATTGGTTGTAAAATTACCCGATTCTTCTGCCAATCTTCTTATTGCTTTAATCTTATTCTTGCTTCTTCGATTGTATACTTCATATTGTGTCATATAGCCTCACCGATTCACAACAAGTGGTATTAGAGTTGTTCTGCTTTCAATAAAGTGGTTTCAGATGTGTTTTGGATTATAACAACTGGTATTAAAGTAATGTTATGATTTTGTTTGAGGTTTTTTATTAACGATGACAACCATGAAGTATGAAATTTCGCTTTTAGATCGCAATACAAGATTTTCATTTTAACAAGTGAATATGCAAGTTGTATTGGCGCAGATGAATTTGGATGATACATTGTTGGGATTTGACAAGATGTTTACAACTTGTATAACAGATGAGAAGCAAGGGGATGGATCGGAAGGCATTTTCACAAATTTATCTTCATTTATCTAACAACATTCTTCAGGATGTTTTGAAAGAGTAGACAATACTGCATTATGGTTGAAGGTGGAGCAACTGCGTATGGCCAAAAGTTTGACAAGGAAGTTGTATCTGAAGCAGCGGTTATATTCTCATTGCATCGCTAATTAGGAAACTTTAGAGGTAAAATATGATAAAGAGGACTAAACTTTGATCCTGTTGTGCTCACTGTCTCTTTGTTTTCATCGTTCAGGGACACGATTTTGTACAGTCGTGATATACTAACCATTGAAGACGTGTATGATGCTTTGTTTTCTAAGAGGAAGATGAAGTATCTGGCTGGAGCTGAGTCCAGAGATGAAGAAGCTCTTGTGGTTTATAGTGATCGGTAAAAAGGTAAGTAGAAGTCGAGTTACAATAATCCGGTTTATTTTTATTACAAGAAGAAATGACACATCAAGAGATAATGCGAGAAGTTGTAAAGCAAAGGTAATTCAACTATAAAATATGGAAAGCAATCAAATACCTTGAATAAGGCAAACATAACAGAGGACTATTTGAGTGATGAAGATCTTTTGGCAATTTTCTAATGAAGAATCCAAACCTGACGAGGAGTGGATTTTGGATATAGATTGTGGGTTCTATATGTGTCCCAATCAAGTTTTATTTGAAACATATGAAACAGTGACACAAGGTGTAGTTGTCATGGGTAACAATAGATCTTTTCGGGTACCTAGTATTGGTAGATTGAAGTTGTCGGATGGAGCAATTGGAACACTTGACTAGATTCAGCACATTTGAAGAAGAATCCTATCTTACTAAGTACCCTTAATTCGAATGGTTTTGAGTTCTTTGGAGGAAGTGGAGTCTTGAAGGTCCAGAAGGATGTCCGTGTGGTACTAGAATGGCGGAAGAAGTCTCAGTTGTACATCTTATAAGGACGCGTAGAATCGTTGAATAATCATCGGCACAAGTTTAGTACCATGGTGGATATACAATTTGGTACAATACCTGTGGAAGTTAGCTTTAGGTCATTATTGAAGAACACTACTAAGATGAGTTTGGAAGATATGGGTAATTCTGCTTTGCGACCATTGTCTGCGATGGCATCATGTGCAACTATTAAGGAATGACCTATTGAGGATAGGTACAAGGATGCTGATCTGGTTGTGTATGTTTTTGTGGTTTTGAAGGTGTTGAGACTAGTAGGGGGTCTTCAGTTAAAGCATTTGGAGCTGATTTTATTACATGGTGTGCTTTGACCCTGTTTGGTAAATCTTGAATTCCTTATGAGAATTTTGGGAAATTGGTGTTTGGGTTTGGATATCATTTGTGGATATTGTGAAAAAAGGAAGAGTAATTTGTCATAAGGTGGAGAAGTTTGGTTCTGGTTGAAGAGTTCAGTTTATTTCGTTATAGTCGGACTTATTTTTCCAAGTAGAGAAATTTTGAAATTTCATTCGTTGCACCGAAATTTGTGTTAAGGTAGAGATTTGTTGTAATGTGACCCAAATTTTAATAGGTATTGGAGTCCTAATTGAAGTGGTCATGAAGAGATCAAAATTATGGACCGAGAAGAAAAGTCATAGAATTTTCGCTAGCCTATTGTTAGTTGGCCGCTCGAGCAGTAGGAAATTTTTTTGGAGATAGAGCTCTCGCTCGCCTATCGTCAAGCTCTCGCTCGAGCTATGAGGTTGTCGCTAGATGGCACTCGAGCGACAACACCGTCCCAATTTTTTTTGCTTTTTGTCGATTTCATGCGTATCTTAACCTACTTTTCTTATTGCAGAGATTGCCGAAATTATATTTTTCTTTCTATTGATTGTCAATTAATATAATTACTCGATTCCTTTGTCAATCTCTTTTCTTGCTTTAATTTTGTTCTTTTTTGTGCGATCATATACTTCATTTAGTATCATATGACCTTCCTAATTCATAACAAATGGTTTCAGAGCGATTCTTCTTTCAATAAAGTAGTTTCAAATTTGATCCGGATTATAACATATGCAATCATGAAAAAATTCAAATCTATTTATCAATATTGTGTCGTGTCAGGCCGTATCATCCATGATTTTTACTTATTTTCTAATCATATATTTTTGGAATTCACTAATTTTAAATAATTTTAAATATAATGAGTGTCTAACATTTTGATGTATTTTAGAAGATTATAAATTCTCATTAATTTCATAAATTTGAATAGGTTTCCACATAACCCACAAGAATCTCAATAAAAATGGAAAAATTTCAAACAAGTTTGTTAAGTGTTTTCTAAGTTTAATGAAATTAGAGTAAAGGGGCCCGCTTTGACAATCAATTGGAGAACCGGGTGGCAGGAATCGAACCCGCATCTTATCCTCCATCCAAATGTTTAGAAACCCTTCATTAATGAAACCTTTATAAATTCACGAGTTATTGAAAATACCTATCTTTTAAAGGATTTCATTGAAATTCAATAAAATCTCATTTGAGGATATGTAGATTTTAATAAAATTCACAAAAATTTCAATTTAGAACACCTAAATTTAGAAAGACTTTTAAAATTCGTCAAAATCTTAGTTGATGACACTTGTGTTACTACCTAGAGTAATTAATTAAAATGGGAATAAGAATTAAACACGAATTCTTGACAAGCACTCTCAAGGCCAAGGATTAGTTATAGAATGGAATTGAATGATTAGGGTATGATAGCCCGAGAGTAAGCCAAAGACACACTGCTTTCATTCTTACCATTACATGACAAAATCCAACTCCCACAAATAGACAAATTTCCAGGCCGGCCGCCTCATATGCCACCAAAATCCAACCCCTCTATATTGCTCATCTCTTTCAGTCTTTCTCTCTCAATACTCTAACCCCTTTTTCTAAATATTTGAAAAGTTGCTTCCTCTTTTCTTCAATTTCTTCTACAGGCTGAAAAAATCTGCAGACTTGAAAGGAGGGTCTCTTTTGCCTAATTTTGACCTCAACCAGTCCTTTCTTCTGTGAATGGGAAAAGAAAGAATATTAATCGTGCATCTTTAAGGAAAAAGATGAACAGTCCATTTCCTTGATTTGTTGCCAGGATTTTCCGGCAAAAAGATTTTATTACAGAAGCTCAATTATGGATCGTTTCCCAAAGAGCAGGTACCACTTATGGTCTTGTCCCTTTCTTATTTCTGTCTGAATTCTATTTGTTCATCTTGGAACACACCGGACCCCATCCCGCCATACCCATCATCTCATGATGCGATTCACTGAGACCTTACTATCATCACTCCTTCTCCCCAAATTTCTCCATTTACAAGCCTGAATATATCATGAACAATCAAGTTTATAGTGAACGGCCATGGCTTGGTTTTCCCACATCCAAATCTTTGGGGAGTTTCGGCGATGCCAATTGCATGGAACAATTGTTAGTCCGCTGTGCCAACGCCATTGAAAACAATGATGCAACTCTTGCACAACAAATTTTGTGGGTTCTAAACAATATCGCCCCACCAGATGGTGACTCAAACCAGCGCCTAACGTGTGGGTTCCTTCGAGCCATCATCGCCCGTGCGGCGAAAAGTGGAACCTGTAAATTGCTCACTGCCATGGCAAATGTGCACACCAATCTAGCCATGAATAACCACAAATTCTCTATTATTGAACTTGCTAGTTTTGTGGATTTAACCCCGTGGCACCGGTTCGGATACACTGCGGCAAATGCAGCCATAATAGAAGCTGTTGAAGGGTATTCAGTAGTTCATATAGTTGACATAAGTTTGACACACTGCATACAAATTCCAACACTGATAGACGCCATAGCCACCCGTTTTGAGGCGGTGCCACTGGTCAAACTCACGGTGGCTGGACACACAGAAGATTTCCCTCCAATGCTAGATCTTTCCTACGAGGAATTAGGTTCAAAATTAGTCAGTTTCTCTAGGTCTCGTAATGTAGTGATGGAATTTAGTGTCATTCCTTCAAGTGCTTCAAATGGGTTCTCTTCTTTAATAGAAGAACTAAGGATGCAGCATCGTGGAGAAAATGGGGAGGCATTAGTCATAAATTCACATATGATGCTCCATTACATACCAGATGAAACCCTACCAGTGGTTCAAAACACTAGTTCACCTCAAATTTCCATTGAAACTTGTTCGAGTAATTCTTTCCTTCGATCAATGTTCCTCGAGGCATTACGAAGTTTGGATCCAACAATCGTGATATTGGTCGATGAAGATGCAGATTTTACATCAAACAATCTAGTACACAGATTAAGGTCAGCCTACAATTATCTATGGATACCCTTTGACAGTGTGGACACGTTTCTGCCCCAGGGGAGCAAGCAGAGGCAATGGTATGAAGCTGATATTTGTTGGAAGATCGAAAATGTAATTGCTCACGAAGGGCCTCAGAGAGTTGAAAGGCTTGAACCTAAGAGCAAATGGGTGCAAAGAATGAGAAATGCCAGTTTTCGGGGAATTTCTTTTAGTGAAGAAGCCATTACCGAAGTGAAAAGCATGCTAGATGAACATGCAGCAGGTTGGGGACTAAAGAGGGAAGAAGAAGATGTTGTTCTCACATGGAAAGGACACAATGTTGTGTTTGCTACTGCTTGGCTACCTATTTGATTATACCTTAAAATTAATGTCAAATTTAGTTTTACTAAATTTAGTTTTACTGTATGTTACTATATTTTCTCCTATGACTTCTCTAGATGTGCTGCTTATTGATCAAGAATGTTTTCTTTTTCTTGCCTGATTATGATGCTCATAATTGTTTTGAGTTCTTGGAAATCCAAATTAACCAAGAATAAAAGCACAAGATCATTTATCTTTTTTTGATTTTTTTTCGTTAGAGCTGTAGTAGTGCAGTTCTGCATCTTTTTGCATTGAGGAAATAGTGGCCAATAGCCGGTTGACTCGGCCATTTTTTCAAAAAGGCCTTTGACCAATTAAAAAAAAAAAAGAAAAAAAACAAAAATGTTTAAAATATTGAAAATCAAGAGAAATCCAAATTTACCCTTACTATTTAAAGAAGAAAGAGAAGATGGCAATGAAAGAGAAAAATTACTGCAGTACTGATAAAAAAAGGGAAAATAGAGGACCCATATTTAATGTTTTTATATTGATTTTTGGAAAAAAAAACATTATTTTGTTTACATGTGTTGATTTTTGGATAATTGCATGATTTTTGGATAAGGAATATATCTTAGGAGGAGGAAAATGGAGTAGAGATCGTCGGAAATGGAATTTTCCAGCGATCTCCACAAAGGAGACGTTTAGCCCAGCTGACTGGGCCGTTTAGACATGTCCAGACGACCCAGACGGCCCAGTTGACTGGACTGCCTGGCGCCCAGACGGCCCAGTCGTCTGGGCTGACCGTTAGAGGCCCAAATTTTTTTTAAAATTACTTACTTATTTATTTCCTTTAATTTTTTAAGTTAACTATTTATTTTAGTTACTTATATTGTGTTGTCTAATATTTAATTATTATTTGAATTGTTTAATTTCAATGTATATTATGTATTTAAAATTATTTCTTTGAAATGCTTAATATAAATGTTTTATTATTTATCTAAATATTTATTATTTGCCAATTTAGTTTTAATTACTTATTTTATGTTAAGTAATAGTAAAAAAAATTAAAAGAAATAATTAAATATTAAATAAGTAATATACATAAAGAACTTAAATAAATATTTAAACATCTGTAAAATAATAAATAAGCAATTAAATTAGAAAATTAAAATATCAATCAAATTAAATTTCTGCAAAGCAATTAAAATAAATTTGTAAATATTAAATAACCAATATGCATAAAGAATTAAAAAAAGTAATTAAACATTAATTAAAAATAAATAATTAAATTAAGTGTTAGTAAAATAATAAAAAAAAGCAATGAAAATATTAAAATAAATGATGAAAATAAGTGTTCGTAAAAAAATTAAACGAAATAATTAAATATTAAATAAGTAATATACATAAAAAATTTAAATAAATATTTAAACATTCATAAAATAATAAAAATAAGCAATTAAATTAGAAAATTAAAATATGAATCAAATTAATTATTTGCAAAGCATTTAAATAAATATCAATAAAGAATTTAAATAAA